AACTGGGGTAACCAAAGCATGGAAATCTGGAGTTCAAGGCCAGCATGGTGTTGTCTCAGAAAAACAAACAACAACAAAAATTATCCAACCTGGGTTATCAGAATTAGCAAATATTTGGAACACATTTATACTAAAAAGTTCTTGATTATTGGTTTGAAATTCACATTTCACTGTGCTTTCTATATTTTATCTAGCAAGTGTCTCCCCAGTACAGGTCTTAGGATTGAATCTTGGCAATTGGACCATGTTCTGACCCCCAATCCTGATGGCCAAGAGAATGAGATATGCCAGCTGGCAACTTAGGGTCACTTACCAGTTCCTAGAATGGACCTGTACTCCACAGATGCCAACAGTAAAAGAGGTGGAGTTATTCCACTGTGATGTTAGTGTCAAGCATCAACTTGATAGATTCTAGAATCACCTAGGAGATGAGCCTCTGGGCAGACCTGAGGGGGATGATCTTGATTTCCTTGACTGAGGCAGGAAGACCCATCCTGTGGGATCCTGCACTAAGTAGAGAAAGGATGCTGAGCAGGAGCATGTTCATCATTCTCTGCCTCCTGACTGTGGATACAATGTAGCCAGAGCCTCGAGCTCCTGCTGCTGTGTCTTCTCTGCCATGATGGACTTGAACCTGGAACTCAGAGCCAGAATAAAGCCTTTTTCCCTTAGGTTGCTTTTGTCAGAGTACTTTATCACAGCAATAGGAAAAGAAACTAAAACACCCAGCTAATCAAAATGCTCGCTCTAGAAGAGAGGGGAATGAACCTTGCTCAGGTGAAGAACACCAGATGCCCACTACAGTGACTTGGAGTGTGCCAGACAATAGTGAACACTAGAAAACTTCACCACTGTGAGGAGGCAAGCATGGGGAATAGTTTAGAAACCTGAGACTCTACTTGGTTTGAGCTGTGCACACACCCCTCTTCTAACAATGCACTTGACAACCTAGGACCCTTCCCTGCATGTACTATGCACACCCATTCTTCTAACAGTACACCCAGCAACCTAAGACACACCCCATACAGCTGCATGCACATCCCACTCCAAACTATAGAATAGTTTCTCCTCCCTCTAATGGCCATCAAGCATGAACAATTTCTATCAATCATTCTCCAATCATATCCAGCCTGAACTAGTTTGGGGCATCTGTACAATACAGGAAACTATGTCCCGTAAGTGAAGTTTTAGGAGAATCCTTTGTTTATCACCCTATGCTTGTGTATAATTGGGTGTGTCTATGATTAAAATCAGATGTATCTTGGGAAGGAACATATGCAACAAGCAAAAGTTTGCATAATCCAAGCCTATCAATCAAAACAGAGAATCACCCTCACTATGCCCCTTAGCAACCAAACTCCCCTTTCTCTTGAACCCCATAAAAGGAAACTCCAAACAATAATCAGGGCCTGTAAGTACCCTCACTCAGATGGCCCACTGTCACTCTTCACAGCACATTTCTTTCTGATCTGTACTATCACTTTGCTTTTGAACAAACTTTCCTGGCTACTTTGCAATCTGTATGTACTTCTATTACAATCCTTTGAATAAGAGAACAAGAACCTGGAAACACCTGGCCCAGATCCCAGACACTGGTAACAGCTCAACTGGGGATGTAGCTCAGTGGTTTAATTCCCCAGTACCAGAAAAGGACAAAAGAGGGATGGCTCGGTGGTTAAGAGAGCTTACTGCTCTTGCAGAAGACTCCAGTTTGGTTACCAGCACCCACATGGAGGCTCACAACACCCTGTAACTCCAGTTCCAAAGAATCTAACTCCCTCTTCTGACTTCCACAGGCACCTGCACACATGTTCTGCATATAAACTCATGCAGGTATGCACATAAATAGATGATTGATAGATGACAGATAGATGATAGATAGATGATAGAGAGAGAGATGATAGATAGATAGATAGATAGATAGATAGATAGATAGATAGATAGATCTTTAAAAGAAAAGAAAATCTAGCTGTTTGTTGGTAGATATTAAAATTATTCCCTGTATTAATTTTCCAGGTTATCAAAACGCCATAGATGGGGCAGCTTAAAGGAACAGAATTTCTTTTCCTCACAACTGAGGCTGGAAGCTCAAGATCAAAGTCTTGGCAGAGATGGCTTATATTTAGTCCTCCTCTGCTTGTAAATGGAGCCTTCTGTGGCCTCAGAGTCCTTCCTTTCCATTTGTGTCCTGTTGGACTAGAGTCCACCCTCATGACTTTTTTTTTTAAGTGTGTGTGTGTGTGTGTGTGTGTGTGTGTGTGTGTGTGTGTATGTGTGTGTGTGTGTGTGTGTGTGTGGTGAGAGAGAGGGTTCACTATGGTGTGTGTGGAGATCAGAGGGCAGATTTGTGGAAGTGATTCTCTTCTTCCATCTTTACATGGGTTCCAAGTTCCAGGGATCAAACACAGGTTGCCAAGCTTGTGTTTCAAGCGCTTTACTTGCCAAGCCATCTGATCAGCACATGATTTCATTTTACCTTAACCACCTCTTTTAAGACTCTTGTCTCTAAACCCAGTTACACTTTGAGGTGCTGGGAGGGAGGAAAGCTGGAGTTTCAGTATGGGGGTCAATCCAGCTCATGTCATCCTCTCTGCTTTATTCTTTCCAGGTAGGGACAGGACAGTAAAGGTGATCTTGGCTTGTCCCCAGTTATAAGGGGCAGAGTAGTAGTGCAACTTGAAGAGGAGCATCTGCTAAAGTCTGCCCATCTTCAAGTCTCACCAAGTTCCCTTCCTGGAGGAAGGGACTCCAATCCTGCCCCAGGCTCAGGCCAGACACCCAGCAGATGACAGTCCTAAAATGAGGAGTTTCTTGAAGGGGGGGTGGCGACAGTTTGAAAAGATTTAGCTGAAAGGAAAGGGGGCCAATGAATCTGAAGTGACAAAGACTTTTTAGAATAAAAAGTGATGAGGTCTATGGATGTGTAAATGAACCCAGCAAAGAACTCATCAGAGGTAAATTGCACAACAGAAAAAGGCTGAAGCAAGCTCAGAGGGAATAGGGTACCACAGTGTCTTTCCTTCATAAGAAATTCATGAGCAATGAATGTTGGAAATGTTGGTTTTGCTGGTGGGAAAGAATTGTAAATATGTATAATATGTAAATACCTTTTATGATAAAAGCCCATGAAGATAAATAAGGCTGTCTGCTGAAAAGCTGTGTGCTGTATGAGATGTTAATCTAAGTCACTCACTTTAAAATTACCATAATGCTTACAGGGCTCTGAAAGTTCCTGAGCTTCAAGCTTAAAAAAAAAAAAAAGCATAAATGCCAAGAAGAAAACACACACGGCTCTTCTTTTTTCTTTTCCTTTCTCTTTTTCATTCCCATTCTGGTCTATGTTTCTTTCTTCATTTGCCTGTTTGTTTTTTAACGTGAGAAAGAGTAGCGGGAGCCTAGCAGAAACAGGGTTTTGGAGTTAGACCTCTCTATCCTCAAATGACCTTAAGTGTAAAAATAAATTGATTTATTTGGGCCAATTGTATGGTCTTAAACACCCAAAAGGAAAGTATAACCAAAGAGTAAACTCATGAGTATATTTCTTTAAGAGCTCAAGGGCTTACACTCCCCAGACATTAGGCTTAAGTTTTTATAAAAAGTTATTTAGACAATTATTTCTCATTGATGATTTTGTTCCTAATCAGAAAGTGCTGCTTAGATGTAAGACTTCAAATCTTGGTCTCCGACACTGTAGCACCCACCTGTGGTTAAGGGAAACAACCAGCTATTGTTCTAAAATGATGGATAAATTTGTTTTCTCCCCCTATCTAGAAGCCTTTGAGAAGGAACTGACACTGATTCTAACCATTCCAACAGCTATCAAAATACCTGAATCCTGAATCCATCTCTAGAGTCCAGCCTTGGAAAACAAAAGAAAAATGAGGAGGAACCCAATAAAGGGATGCTTTTGGAAGCCCTTGTAATGCTAATTACTCTTGCCTTTACTTCCTCATGTCTCCTATTCATGATTCAAGGATTTTCTTTTACCCGTAGAGATAAGAGTTATGCAATTTGGGAGTCTTTTAGATAGATTCACAGAAGGGGGACTCTAATTGCCTCACACCGCCTCCCTGTTCAGCATGGAAGAAACCAGATTGGTCGGCGTCCCGATTCCCTATTGGCAGTTGCCTCACCCTATGTCCTTGTTCAGCATGGAAGAAGCCAGAGCCGTCCTGATTTCCTATTGGCAATTTGGGTAACCTGTTCAGAGGATGGTGTGATAAGAACAGGAGGTAGGAATTGGCTAGGCTGTTAGGGTAAAAAGACCCCAAAGAAAAGTAGCCAGTTTCTTGGCTAAAAGTAACAATGTTCTTGGGCCTCTTAGCAACATACTCCATTCCAAAGACCAAAAATGTCAAAAGTATTTAGGAGCTTTTATCTAATCCTTTTATCTAATCCTCTTCAGAGGGGGGGGGGGAATGTTAGAGTACCCAAAAGCCCCATAAAAGAAAATGTAAATCAAAAAAGAAAGAGTACATGAAGTTATTGGGAAAAAAGTGATGGGGGCATATGGGAGGAGTTGGAGGGAAGGAGTGAGCATGGATCTGATCAAAACACTTTATATGCATGTATGAAATTCTCAATAATTTATTTGTTTTTAAAAAAGCGTTCCAACCCCATTGGTGAAAAAGGGACACCTACCTACCCTGGCCGCGGAAGGACAGGGAAAGGGCTGTCCAGGAAGTAAGGCCAATGCCACACTCCGTTAAGGGGGAAACGAGACACAGTCCTAGGACCGGGGAGGCCCGGGTGGAGAGAGCGGGCCGACTGCCCGGCTCCTTCAGCTCGGCCCTAGTCTTCTGGGCCGAGCCCGGGAAACCTACATTGCTCTTCTGAACCTGCCCCTCTAGCCCCGCCCCGCTCATCTGAGCCACGCCCCATTCCTCTGGGCTCCGCCCCTTGTTCCCCGCCCCCTGAGCATCGCTCCTCTGGTCCCGCCCCACTAACCCCGCCCAGCTCCTCTGGTTTCCCCCCCACCCCCCACTAACCCCGCCCAGCTCCTCTGGTCCTGTCAGCTCCTCCAACTTCCGAGCCATGGCTCCCACGGCGCCGCCCTGGGCTAGGGGCCTGTGGAGGGCCTGCAACGCGCTCATGGCCGCCTTCTTCGGCCTGGCAGCGGTGGTGCAGGTCAGGCGGGCTGAGGCGGGCGGGTTGCGGGACCTGCGGGCTCCGAGTTCCGCCCCCGAGTCTGACAACGGTGCAAACTGACCAGTCCGCAGAGCCGCCGGGGTGGCCAGTAGCATTGTGGAGCAGATTGAGGTTTATGTTTCAGGAAGGTGTCTCCTCAACCAAAACACCAATGAGATCGTGTAAGCCCACGCACTGAGAGCCTGACCTGGCCAGCCCCGCGTGCACATGAGGGCAGGAGCTAGTTCAGAGCGGGTCACTTAGAAAAGGGACCCAGAAGATGCAGCCTCCCGGAGACTGAGCGGAATTCAGGACGTGGGAGGAGGAGGCAAAACTATCCCTTCCAGCATCATTATCCTTCCTAGTCCACTTTGAGATCCTCTTCACGATAGCCTCCCTCCTTCCTTGAGACTGAGGGTCTTTAACCACCCGTTCTAATTCTTCAGAAATCCTAGCAAGCTAGAGACACTTGTGTTCAACCGGGAGTCCCTCACGTGTAGACAGCTAGCTAGACCATCTCACTGGTGTTCTATACCCTGAGCCCACTGCAGTGCCTGGTTCTTAGCAAATGAAGAGTGAATAAAAGAACAGACTCAGTAGGCCATGTCTGCTAACACCATGATGTTTTGACATTGCAGGTGAATGATCCAGACGCAGAGCTGTGGGTGGTGAGTATGAGCTTTCAGAATCTCCATTTGACAGCATTGTGTAGCCACACAGAGCCCTTGGCTTTCATCCTGCCTCGTTTGCCTAAAACCTTAGAAATTACAACCTTTTATGACCTTTTTTTTCCTAAATTTTTCTTTCTAGAGGGGAGAATTGGTATGATGATATAATGGGGGTGGGGGTGGGAGTGGGGTGAATTCTGAACTTCCTCGAGTCTTTCCACAGAGTTTATATCAATGACCCTCATCACCTTAATTACACTAAACATAATGACAATATGTGTTCCTGTTGTTTACTGAAATTCTACAATTTAGTAGTCACTTTTACATGCATCATGCAACTTTTATGACAACCATCAAAAGGATATGCACTAGAATATACATACATCCATGATTTAGTTTTTTTTAACTTATTTTTATGTATATGTGTTTTGCCTGCATGTGTGTAGGTGTGCCACATATGTGCAATGCCAGTAGAAGCCAGAAGATGGCGTCTGATCTCCTGGAACTGGAGCTACAAAGGTTGTCAGCTGCCATATGGGTGCTGGGAACTGAAACCAGGTCCTCTGCAAGAGCAGCCAGGGCTCTTAACTGCTGAGCCATCTATCCAGCCCCACATCCATGATTTTTGCCCTTGGGCAGCAGTAGACAGTATCACTGAGGCAATCATTCTCAGGTTTTGGGATAATGTTGACCATATGCAGGTGAACAAGTCAAAACACTGGGAATTAGAGGGATGCTCTAGTCAGGTTTAGGGGACTTTGCTTCCTTGCTTGCTTGCTTTTTTGTTGTTCTTAGTTTTAGTTTGGTTTGGGCAGTTGAACCACACTCTGATAATGACTGGTATCCAGAGCCTGCTCCTCTGCTACCCAAGGTCCCACCCAGCATCTTTCCCTCTCAGGCCCATTCCTCTCCCTGACTCAGCCACTTCTCTTATTAGCAGAATCATGTGACAAGTTATCCTTGCTCAAAGACTCTATCCCTTCCCGCTGCCTTGAGATCCCCTCAGAAATAAAAATAAAAAGAAATTCCCCTCCAAACACACACACACACACACACACACACACACACACACACACATTTTAGGTCTTGTTGGTTCTATCAGTGCCTGCATATTTTATCTCCACTTCTTGCCTAATATGAATATGTAATATGAAAGGTAAGCTGTATGTCTTGACTGACATCCTCCCTCATTCCTATTCAGTCCTCTATTACCTCCTCTAAGGAACAGCTTTATAACTCTTCTGTCTGCTTCCAAACTCTTCTGCTCCTAGGACACTTCCTGTACATCAGTATGCTTCAAAACCTTTTGTCAGGGCTAGAGAAATGACTCACTTGTTAAGAGCACTGACTGCTCTTGCAGAGGACCTGGGTTCGATTCCCAGCACCCACATGGCAGCTAGCAATTGTCCCTATCCCCAGTTCCAGGGGAATCTGACACCCTCTTCCCTCCTACATGGGCATTGCATGACACGGGTGCATTTACATGCATGCAGGGATTACACGCATACAAGTAAAATAAAAATTAGGGGGAAAAAACCTTTTCCCAAGCTAAGTTGGAACTCACCCCATTTGACCTTTAGGCTCTCAGTAGTGTAGCGCAAGCCCACATTTCCAACATGATCTTTGAAGTCCAGTCTGGCAGTGATGGCTACTGTGTCTTGCATCTGGTGTGCCATTTTCCACCCAGGCTTCATGGACTGTCTTGGATGCTATCTCATCCCCAGTCACTCTGCCTCATTCCCAGAAGACCTGACCATCTTTCCTTTGAAACTTTATTGTAGCAACAACTTATTTGGCTTTGTATTCTGTACAACCAGTTCCCACTGGGACAAGAACAAGTTCCCCCTCTTTGTAGGAGCCTTTAGGCAACCTAATATTTAGCCTCCCTTTTAAAAATCTTTCCTGTATCAACTCCTGAATGAACTGCAGGATGAACGGATGCACAGATGAACAAATACTAAGTTGCTTACTGCACCTTGGTGACTAGGATGGTCACAACTCATTTCCATTCCCTCCTTCATGGAGGCAATTAGCACAGGGTGCAGACATAAGCAAGTGATGGAAAACAGGTTTTAACAACAGGTCATAAAAATGTAGAACATGTCACTTTAAAAGCTTATATGGCTGTTTGATGGTCAACAGTGACATCAAGGGCCTGGGATTTCTCATCTTGGCCATCCGCATGTTTATAAAATGGCTGCCTCAGCTCCAAACTTCTAATCCCCAAAAAGTGCATCCAAAGTAAGAAGCACAATAAGCTTTCCTCCTGTACTTCCATGCCTTCTATTAAAGAGGAAAACGTTTCCCAAGAAGCCCCTTGCACAGGACTGCCAGTGGGTTTGCACAGATTGGCGCCTGTATTATCAGGATTCCATTTTGATTCATAAGCAGCCATTCATAAGTGGCTGTTAAATGCTTTGCATGCATCAACTTTGCCCCTGGAAGACATCTCCTTACATTTGTTGCTGCGCAAGACCTGGGTCATGTAGTTTTTCATGGGGAGCAGGACTTACTTCAGTGTATCCTTGGAACAACAGCAGTGGCACCCCTGGGAGCTGGTTAGATTCTAGGCAGAAGGTTGAGCACTATCCAGACCTCTAGCATCAATGCCTGCATTTTAGCAAGATCCCAGGTGATTCTTATATATGCTAAAGTTTGGAAAATGTGGGTCTAATCAGGATCCTGACTGCCCGTTTTTGTGGGAAGACCTGACTTGCAAGGGTCAACACTGGCTGCTATTCCAATCAGTGGAGGTGAAGCAGGAAAGGTGAATGTAGACTAGACAATGCAGACGCACGCTCTGCTCAAGCTTGAAAACTAATTTAAAAACAGACAGAAAACAAAAACAAAGACAGCTTTCATAACTTCCAAATTGACTGCTTCACCAGAATCACTGCAATTGATGTGCCTAACAGTCACATCTCCTGGAGTCTCCAGGATACATCAGATCCATACATCCTTTGGGAACATTCCATGATCTCATTTGCAGAGGTATTGAGTCGCATGGTCCATGGGGTCCAATCCAGCAGGGCCACCTGTCCATTCATGACTGCTCCTGCTTTGCTTTTCAGAGAATGCTGTCTTTTAAGTGAGGCCATTTGGCTATGGAAGTTGCTGGGGAGAGACTGAGAGGTCAGCATGTCTTAAGACTAAACTGTGTGCTCAGTGCTACAGTTAGAAGATGAAAAGCCTTTCCTGACAGTGTAGGAAGGGCTGACACAGTAACCAGATTATACAAGCAGAGGTTACCACATCCTTCCTCAGTGACTACTAAATCCTAGAGGAAAATCGTGGAACTTGCTAACTGCTGATCTCATTTTTTTTTTCTCCCCTAGGTATCTCTGAACATATCACACTGATCATACTACTTCTTTTTCTTTTCAGTGCCTCACACTCCACTGCTGGGCAACACTCCCAATACTAGGAACACTTCTTAACTCCCACACTTCCTCTTTACTAACAGGTGGTGTATATGATCCCTGCAGTCCTGACTCTGCTTGTGGGATTTAATCCCCTCATCACAGGTATGAACACTGGATTCTGCATGATCTTATAATGATGAGAATCTACTTGCCCAAATCCCAACAGAAAAACAGAACCCTTCTCACTTCTGATAACAAGAGACTCATTTTTATCTAGATATCATAGGAAAACGTCCCAGGGTCTTGCCATACTGGGTCATTATCAATTTGAACCCAAGACCTCTTGGGCTTATATGGGATGTTAGTTGCTGTGAAGTTTAGCTCATAAGAGAAAATGGTTCAGTCACTGCATTGAATTTTTTTTAAGTTTATTATTTTTATTTTATGTGTATGAGTATATTATTGCCTGCTCGTATGTAAGCGCACCTGTGTATACAATACCTGAAAAGATCATGTTCCCCTGGAACTAGAGTTATGGATGGTTGTTAGCCACATGTAGGTGCTGGGAATTGAACCCAGATCCTCTGCAAGAGCAGCCAGAGCTCTTAAGCACTGGGCCATCTCTCCGGCTCTGCATTGATTTCTTAAGCCTCCAAGCGAGTGAAAATCAGTGGCAATATAAGTGCTAATCTTGTGTTTTCAGACCCAGGGGCAATATGCCTGTTATATATTTATTCTCCATGATCCTGATCAACTTATCTTCTACACATTCTTCTTAGAGCAATACCATTTCCATTAATTTATTTCTTGCTCTGAATTTATTTAAAAAATCTATGTTTATGAATTGCCACTTATGTATGGAAAGTGCATATAATATCTGTAACACATCTCTACATTTTTCATTAGTATATGTTGCTCTTTCCAGTCTCCCTGTGAATAGTACTTACAACAATGTGTGGCATGCTACTAGGCTGCAAGCCCCTTACAAGCAAGACTGTGCTTAATGCTTCTTTGCACAAGCCTGTATGTCTTATTCCATTCAAGTTATTATAGCAAAAATACCATAGACCAGGAGGTTTATAAGCAACAGACAGTGATGTTTCCCAGTTTGGGAGGCTGGAAAGTCCCAGGTAAGGGCACCATCAACTTTATTGTCTGTGTGGATCCGCTTTCAGTCTTAGGTAGCCCCTCTGCTCTGTGTCCTCATGGGGTGAACGGGCAAGGGAGATTTCTCAGTCCTGTTTACAAGTACACTAACCTCATGAATGAGCACTTCCAAAGTCCACCCTCATGAACTGAGCACTTCCAAAGTCCACACCTTTGGATATTGTCGCCTTGGGGATAAGATTTCAATATATGACACAAATATTCAGTCCAAAGCAACATGACCAGGCATATTGTAGGTTCTTAATGGCCACTGGGTTAATGCAGAGGTTTGTTGTATTTTTATTCTATCACTTGCTCCTTGGATTCTTTGCATGTATCTCCCAGGTGAGTATACATGTTAAAAAGTCGCTTAAAACAAACAGTTTGCATTGTATACAAACTGCCCAAGTCAATGCTAAGCAAACAGCAGCTTTCTTTTATAGCCATAAAAGCTCTTGATGGGATGACTTAGAAAAAGTATGACACATATATGTGAAAGCACCATAATGAAGCCCATTATTTTATATGTTATCTTTAAAATTTAACTTAAGGGGGGGTGTTGTCTCTCAACCTTAGGTTTATACTATAAAAACTGTTTTATGAAAACTACATTTTACATTGGTTGTTAGCATTTCCTAGTGAATGAGGACTGTTAGTCCTGCAAGATTATTTTTCATTTTCCTTAAAAGAGCTTTTATTAGCAACGTTTGCAAGTTCCAAAGTACCTCAGAATAAAGACCAAGGGTTCCCACTTCAGTGGTGGAGTCTAGTTCCCTAGATGCTGGGCTACGTTTTTAGGATCCTGTATCCCTGTCTACATCTTTATGGTGGATTGATTAGTTAGGCTTTATGGAAAAAGAAACAAACAGCTCAAATGTGCCACAAGCTAAGAAAATATACTGGTACAAATCTTTAGGAAGGCTCTGAGCAGTGCTGGCTTCGGGCGCTGGTAGATTAGGAACTTGAGCTTCTCTCTACCTTTGAGTTCTACCATCTGCTGCCCTGACTCCACTGAGCTCTGCGTGACAGTCCTGCAGCTCCATGTTCACGTAACACTAAATCCAACAGTATAGACTGTTTCCTTTTTCTACCAAAGTTTCAGAATTGAGTTATTGGCCCTGACCAATCATCTGTTTATTAGGAGCCAAAACACTGTAGCTATGGGGATGAATGTTTGGTTGATCTAGCTAAGACCAGGTACCGGCACACCACAGTGTGAGAAGGGTGGCTCTCCAAAGAAAATGAGTGCATTATGATAAAACAAATAAAATACAAAGAGATCACTTGTTTCTGGGTGCGGTCTCTTGATTGACAGTGTCAGGATATACATTTTTAGGTAACTTTGTTTGGAAAAGCCTGTCTGCAATGCACATGCTGTTTTGCATGGTGTGGGCTGTCCGCTTGGCGCACTACTTCCTGCTTCATGCCCAGCAGAACATCTTACATGAAGAAGAAGGCAGGTGAGCCGTGACTTTTGTCCTTTGGAGGGGTGGAGAAGAACTGGGAAATCGTTTACAACACCAGCTTACCTGTGTACAGTGATGATTTAACTCCCACAAATGTATCACCAGAGAAGGGAGGGAAATACAGCCTGTAAAAGATGAAGAAAGTGAGCCAGGCGTGGTGGTGCACGCCTGTAGTCCCAGCACTTGGGAGGCAGAGGCAGGCAGATCTCTGTGAGTTCAAGGCCAATCTGGTCTATATAGTGAGTTCCAGGACAGCTGGGGCTACAGGGAGACCCTGCTTCAAAAAGGAAAAAAAAAAAAGATGAAGAAAGTGTGCAAATGGCGGAACCAGAATTCAAACCCAGCATTGCCTATCAGACTCCATTATTAGAGCTGCCATGGCCCTTACCAATTCCTGCCAGGCAGGTGGACCTTGATCTCTCTATAATTAGCATGGATACAGTACAGTAATACGCAGTCCAATCTAATAAACTGATAACAGCATTTTTAGTCAGCTCTAAGTCAAACCCTTTTCTGCAGAGGTGATCAGCCACCTCAGAAGTCAGTATTTTGAGTCAACCTCTGCTAGCCCTGCCTTGGTATGTCATGTGTCATCTCCTCCCTTTGTTCTGACCATTTTCCTATTTTATCACCCTTGCTAGTTTGACTCCTGGCCCTACTGAAAGACATTTACTTTTCTTTCTCCCCACCCTGCCACTGGAACACATATACTCTGTCATCCATGTTAAGGCCCACTGTGTCGTTAGTGTCCCCAGACATTCTCCAGTGCAAGTCCATCCACTGATGTCTAGTCAGTCTATCTAGAATCCCTTGTTTTAGAAAGATCAGTTCTTCCTCACCTATCAGTAATTAGTTGCCAATATTTCTTCAGCTAAAATTGGGGTCTGATGTTCATTTCCCCAGTTCTATGCTGGGTTTTTGTCTGCCTGAGTTTGCAGGTGACTGTGTATGCTGACACTATTGCCATAGAATCATATGTGCAGGGTCCCAGGAGCTAGTAGAAAGAGGATTATTTTTTAGCCATTGCAAAAGGTATATGCTTGTAACACACACCCGTAGATGAGCATCCCCCTCAACATTTATTAGTCTAATTAATACTACAAACCATTCCTCTCCCTGCCATCTCCCCCAACTCTTAAAATATGTGTTCAGATTTTGTATTCATTCAAATTCTTGCATAACACTAACACCCCCCAAAAAATGTGAAGTTGATGACCAGTGAAATTCAGGGCTATTTTTGTGGCTGTACCATCCCTCCTAGTGACATGAAGTATATGAGCTGTAGCCACTTCATAATGTGAAACTCATGTTTTCCAGGGAGCTCTCTGGCCTGGTGATCATCACTGCATGGATGGCACTGTGCCACAGCTCAGCAAAGTAAGTTCAACTCATCAGTTAAAAATCAATGAACCCAGGGTTATTAAAATCAGGCACTAAATGCAATTGTTGACATACAAAAGGAAACAAGAATCTTTTAAAAATAAGTCTTTCCCTTAAAAAAAAAGTCCTTACTCCAATCTTTCCTTTCACAAGGGAACTATTAGTTGATTCAAATCAAAAGTCAGGATTACTCATTTGTTCCCAAGTCCCATGCTTCCCCATGTGGCCCACATAGTCACAAGCATATCAAGAGTGTTCTTCGAGGAGAAGGAAAGTGATCTCAGAGGGTAGCTTGGAAATTCAGGAAAGAAGGAAGAACAAGGAAAACACAAATGTGTGGGCACACATGAGTGGATATCAGCTTTTAAGACAGTAGAGGTGAACAGAAATCCATGTTGATAGCAGCAAATAAGTTGAGAATGGGTAAGTGGAGTTAAAGTATTCAAAAAACCTTAAATTGTCTGGGAAGAGTTAAAGTACACATTTATGTCAGACATGGGTAAGTCAAGGATTTATTGTGCAAATTTTAGGGTAACCACTAAGAATACAAAATAATCAGAAAAGGCAGGAAACTACATGGGGTTGGGAAACAAATGGGACACATAAGAAGCATAGGTTAAGATAATTACCCCCGCAAAGATAGTTAAACCCAAATATATTAGGAATTATATTAAATGTAAATACACCAAATATTCCAGTTTAAAGTCAAGAATTTTCAAAGGGTATAAAAATATTTAAGAGATTTAACATTTCTTACAAAAAGAAAAATGCCTTAAATATATAAAAAATAGAGTCAAAAAGGAAAATGCCTTAATATATAAAAATAGTAAGAGTCAAAAGGTGGAAAAATTTACTGTATAAATATCAACTAAATGAAAGCCAATAAACAGTTTTAATACCAAAGTAGATCTCAAAGGATATTAGTACAGAAAAGGAAAACTATTGTGATTTTTAAAAGATATTAATTTTGAAATTTTTCAAACAGAAAAAAAAAGAATACTAACGCAATGAGTCAGATGTACCCATTAATCTATAGCAATCATCAATATGTGACCCCTGTACCACTATCCACTCCACACAGTCTAAATCTTAGGTATCATATTGTTTCCTCTATAATATTTCAGGATGAATTCTAAACCATCCACTTATGAACAAGTCACTCTACTATCATCATACACACAAAATAAAAGAAGAGTAGCTCCACAGTATTCTGAAGTGTTTGGATTTTCCCAGTTGTCTTACAGATGATCATCTTTCTGTGCCTTTTAAAAAATAAATTAATGGTTAGATATAGAGGCTTGACCAGATTCTGAAATTATTATTAAACATTATTCCATGTTAAAGAATGGTGTTGTGTCTCTATCGTGATATCCATAACACCTCATTGTTTCTCTGTGATATTAACAGTCTTTGATAAACATCATTGCCTAAACCCATTAATTCACTTGGATTGCAAAGTGGTGATATTAAATCGTTTTTTATTTATTGGCTAGAAAATACCTATAAAGAGACAATTCCACTTAAAAACTCAGTTGTCTAAGTTACAGATCATCAGAAATAAAGAAAAGGAATAGGAGTTGGTTCTGCTTACTACCTTGCACAATAAATCTTGCATAGGTATTCTCCAAAGGTGTCTAATAAGTTTTATTATTTGTTTTAATAAAGTCACAGGTTTAAATATATTTGATGTGCTTTAGTCTATACAGTTATCATCTTTAATGTTCAGAGAGCCTGTCGTTGATTGGTGGCACTTATTCAGGTTGGCTCCTCAAGTCTTCTATATGACCTTAGTCATCTTTGATAGCTTCCTTGCTTCGGGGTCTTGCTGTAACCCAGGCTCATGTCTTATGCCTCAGATCTGGAATCAACCATTTTCCCAATGTGTGAAGTTGTATGTGTCATAAGTATGAATACATTTCAAAAGTATATGTGCACATGTATACATGCATATAAAGATAAAATGTGAACTCATACTGATTCTAGCTGGATCTAGTCAGGAATATGGTTTTTGCTTAATCTTACCAGAGATGTTACATCTATATCTTATTTTATATATGCTAGTGTCTGTGATCTCAAAATAGCTCAGGAAATTTAATCCTACATTACAAAATAACTTAAAAAGTTTTTTGAGACAGGATCTCACTATATAGTCCAGGCTGATCTTAAACTTGTAATTCTCAGCTGGGCATGGTAGCACATGCCTTTAGTACCAACATTGGGGAGACAGAGGAAGGTGGATCTCTATGAGTTCAAAGCCAGCCTGGTCTACATAGAAAATTCCAGGCCAACCAGGGCTACATAGGGAGACCCTGTCTCAAAAAAAAAAAAAAAAAAAAAAAAAACCAAACCAAACCAAACCAAAAAAAAACAAAAAAAAACAAAACAAAAAAAAAAAAAAAAAAACCAAACCAAACCAAACCAAAAAAAAACAAAAAAAAACAAAACAAAAAAAACTTGTAATGCCTTGGTGGTTAAGAGCAGTTACTGCTCTTCCAGAGGACCAGAGTTCAGTTCCCAGCATCCACATCAGGTGGCTCACAACTGCCTGTAACTAACTCTACCTCCAGGGGATCCAATGCCTCTGATCTCTGCAGGCACCTGCATATGCCCACACACAGATATATATAAACACAAAATTTAAAATAATATTTGAGAAAAAAAGCATGTAATTCTTCTGCCTTAGTTTCCCCAGTGCTGGAATTGCAGGTATGAGCCACCTGTCTGAACAAAATAACATTTTAATGCCAATTCTCAAAATCACAGTATGACTACTGGTCACAGGCATTATGTGTGTTTCCTAATAGGGAACAGGCCACTAAGAGAGAGATCCTCACACTGGGAGGACTTGCCCTGTGTGCTGGTACCACCATGTGAACACACAGGCTCATTTATTGCTAGGGATAATTTTATTTTAAATGTACTGATATTATAATTGTATAAATATCTACATGGCTTCAAAGTCAAATCTACAAAATAAGATCTAGCCAAAGAAATCTGTCTTCTCTGTCCCCTTGACCTCTCACATAGGTGAGGCTTTTTCAGTTGTACAGTTTTCCCTCTGCTTTCTGTCTTTTCTGCGATCCTGATTGTCTTGGGTCAACGGTAGCATATTTTCCATGATCTTTCGCCTTTGCTGCTTCTGCCTACATCTGGGAGCTCATTATAAACTGCCCACTGACAGTTTCACATCCTATTCAATCCATCTGTTTAGTAGTGCTGCAATTAATAACCCTTGCATGTATCTAGCATATTTTTACTAGTGTGTCTTTGGGGTGAATTCCTGGAAATTGGATTGCTGGGTCAAAGTATAATTCCATGGTTAATATCTCAATATGCTCTCGAATTCCCCTCCACAAAGACTGATGCACTAGCAACAAATAAGAGCGTCTGTTTCCCTGTAGCCTTGCCAACTGAGGATACTGTCAAATTTTTAATAATTTACTAATCAGATAGTTGAATAGAGGGTAGTTTTAACTTGCATTTCTCTTATTCAGAGCAAAGATACGGGCTCTATCTGTAGCATAGTGAGGGAAGGAAGAGAGAGAAGGAGAAGTGGGAAGGAGGGAGGAAACAAAGACGAGCACACTTCATATGGGGAGAAGCCATTTGTGTTGCTTTGAAACTTGTCATTTCTAAGATATAGGTTTAACCCAAGTCTCAATGATTAGTCTTGTTTCAGTTTAGAAACTTTTCTTTTTAAGTTTCACTATGTGGCCCACGTTGGCTTGGAACTCAGAGATGAACTGCTTTTGCTTCCAGAGTACTAGGATTAAAGGCATATACCACCATGTCCGCCTGCCCTTCCTTTTAGAAACTCTATATATTAGGGCTTAACTCTTCGTGATACAGGTGAAAAAATATTTTTATCATCTTTGTTCTTTTACTTTGCTTATATGAAAGTATAATTTTGCTATGAAAGGTTTTTTGTTGTTTTAATGTAACCAATTTTGTCTTTTTCTTAATTTCTTCTGGATACCTGTAGTTAGGACAACACAAATTCCTCTCAGATTATAAAGTAACATATAAATTTTCTTGTAATACATGCATGGCTTCATTTTTTTCATTTAAGTCTCTGGGGATGTGTCTTGGTGATAGACCACTTTCCTAACATGGCCAATGCCCTGGGTTCAATCTTCAGCGGATGAAAACAAAACACCTCTAGGGGAAACCTCGGTACCTCTTATTAAAACTATAGATCGAAGTTGCCAAAGAAGGACACATATGTTTGGTTTTTTTGAGAAAGGTCATAGGTAACCCAAGTTGACCTCAAACTCACTATGTAGCTGAGGATGTATGGCCTTGAACTCTTAATCTCCCTCATCTCTGAAGTTCTAGGATTACAGGCCTGCGCCACTGGTTAATGACAAAACTTGGAGCACATCAAGACAATACAGCAAGAAGTTCTATATGTACATGCATAATAACATTGCCTCAAAATAGATACAACAAATGTTCTAGAATGAGCTAAAAACAGGAAAATTTACAATTATTTTGTGAGATATTAACATACTTCTCTTATTCATTAATACAATATGCAGACAAAAAATCAGTGACAATACAGAAGATTTTATTCTCAATAAGAAACTTGACCTAGTGAACACTCTGACACCCGAATAAGAATAGCAAACCCGGGGCTGGGGAGATGGCTGTCAGTAAAGCACTTGCAGTCCAAGAATGAGAACCTGAATTCAGATTCTCAGCACCCATGTAAAAGCAAGGTACTTCTGTGCATTCATGTAATCTCGGTGCTGGGGGCTGCAGACTGGCAGTTCATGGGGGCTTGCTGGCAGGTCAGTCTAGCCAGTCAGTGAGCTCTGGGTTCCTTAAGAGATCCTGCATCCAAAAAAGTAGATGGTGATAAAACACCCAACAACAAGCTCCAGCCTCCACACACATGCTCAGACACATAAGAATGGAGCCCACCCTTTTCACATGCATATTATTTACAGAAACACCATAGGTTCAGCCATAAAATAACTCCCTTCATATTTCAAAGGACTGAAATGCTACAATTATGTTCTCTGACCATAGTGCAACTAATATAGAAACCATTATCTCCCTCTCTCTAGACACCTGCTGCTAGATAGTATCTTCCAGATATTGACAGGGAAGCTGTACCCATGAAATATCAACAATATGGTTGTCTAAACAAGACTGCATAATGACAATACCAATAGGCAAGCCAATGTAGACAAGAGAAATTTCACAAAGTCCCACTTCTAGATAAAGAGCTAGAGGCAATATGAAGGGAGTTA